TGTACCTCTAAGAAGATGGTCAAAAACTTTCTCCAAGTCCACAAAACACATGTAAACTGTATGGGCAAGTTCCCATGACCCCTTGAGGACCTCAGTGAGGGTAAAGAGCCGGTCCAGTGTTCCACGGCCAGGATGGAACCTGCATTGTTCCTCCGATATATGAGGTTCAACCAATAATCAAACTCACTTCTCCAGTACACCTGAATAGACTTTACCAAGGAGGCTAAGGAGAGTAATGTCCCTTTAACAGGAGCACATCTTCCAGTCCCCGTTTAAAGACGGGAATCACCACCCCAGTCTGCAAATCCAGTGGCACTGCCCGTGATGTCCACTCAATTTTGCAAAGGTGTGTCAACCAAGACAGCCCCACAACATCCAGAGCCTTAAGGAAATCAGGGCGGATCTCATCCAAACCCCGGAGCCATGCGAGCAAGGAGCTTTTTAACTTCCTCGGTGACCTCAGCCACGGTTATGGACAAACCAACACCGAAGTACCCCGACTCAGTTTCCTCCATGGAAGATGTACTGGCGGAATTGAGAAAGTCTAAGAAGTATTCCTTCCACCTCCAAATGACATCACTGGTTGAGGTCAACAGCATCCCACCATCACTGAACACAGTGTTAGCAAAACACTGCTTTCACCTCCTTAGCCACCTGATGGTTTGCCAGAATCTCCTTGGAGTTGACTGAAAGTTTCTATTTAAGGCCTCACCGAATGCCTTCCACATCCGAGCTTTTGTCTCAGCAAAAGCCAAGGTTGTGGACCTCTCAGCCCTCCGGTACTCCTCAGATGCATCTGAAGTCTCACCAGCCAACAAGCCCTGATAGGACTCCTTCTTCAGCTTGGCAGCTTCCCTAACCCAGGGTGTCCACTAACAAGTTTGTGGATAGCCACTAGGAGAAACACAGACAACCTTGCAGCCACAGCTCAAGGCAGCAACCTCAACAACTGAGGTGCAGAATATGGCCCACTCAGACTCAATGTCCCCCTGCCTCAGTTGAAATGTGGTTAAAACTCTCACAGAGGTGTGAATTGAAGATCTTTCTGATGGGTTCTTCTGCCAGGCATTCCCATCACTACACGTTTGGGTGTAGCGAGTCTATCCGGCATCTTCCACCGTCATCTGATTGAACTCACTACCAGGTGGTGATCAGTTAACAGCTCAGCTTCACTCTTCAATCAGGTGTC